AATCTCGAGGCATGGTTTTACGTTTGCGAAACACGGAAATTGGGTTGTCTATTTTGCATTAGCATTGGCGGACACAACTTTGTGTGGTTACCAAATTGCTTTCCGCTTGGTCCCAATAGACGAAATGAGAAGACAGATGGACGGAAAGAGAGAGAGAGAGAGAGAGAGACACACACACAAGAGAGAAAGAAAAAGAGACTTCTTCACTCCTACATGCTACACCCACTACCGCCCACCGCTTCCAAAGATTTTGAGAAACTTGCACGATTCAGGTTCTCGTTGACCGTTGAGCGCTAAAAGAATTGGCTTGTACCGGACTCGTCCTTTTGCCGGATGGGAGGTGATACCTACCATGTGACCGGTGGGGGAGGGAAGAAGAAACGTTGCCAAGAACGGTTTACTCCGGACTACCTAAGGTGAGAAGCAGAAGGCCCTCCGTCCGTCCGCATCGGTGATTTTACCACGATACCGTGCCCGCTTTCTCTTCCGATATACAGTCTCACAGAGCGTATCTGTACGCAAATGTAAAAAGGGGGGGGGGGGGGGACACGCACGAGTGGTACTGTCGGGAGATGGGTCCGATCTGCAGACGCCGGTTCGGATGCAGCGTGCCACTGTGCCAGAACCAAAAGTCACCATGAGTTGCGTGGTGTGTGATGCGTTGTGGTGCGCGGTTGACTTGCCTTACGTTGGACGGGTGCGGGGGAGTAGGAAGGGGAGGAGGAGGAGTGGGGCCCGGGCCGGAGCATGGTCTTATCGTTATCTGCAGATATCACGAGTCGGGCGGCAGTGGCACTGATAATGGCAATGGCAACCAACCTGAAGCACCAAAGGCGATGGTGGTGATGCTGATAAGGGGGCTGGCTGCCAGGCTGGCTGATGGATGTGCAGGTTGCTAGTTCATTGGCGATCGGTGCGATGACTCGTTTGCCCGGGGAAAGGTTGCTTGCTGCTTGGCTGCTCGATTTGGGATTGCCGCACATGCCGCCAGGGGTGCGGATCACGACAACACTGACAGGCAACGAAGCGGCAAGCCAGATGGAGTAGGTCGTTCGGGGTTTGCCTTGCCACGCTTGCCTACCTTGGTATATGGGCGAGAGATCGATCTCTCGGACGGTGCCATTTATCGGAGCTGCTGGAGGCTGGATCCGGCGCGTTACAAAGTTGCCGCCCGTGAAGAGACGACGATAAGAGAGGCGGGTACTCTGTCAGTCCCGAGCCTGTAAACAAGATTGGGGGTTCCCAAAGAAAAGAAAGGAAGACGAACTGAGCGCTACGGTGACGGGAGAAGGATTCCCGGGATCAACCGAGGACTGGGCGAGCCGAGTGCTTAGGCATTGTTAGTGTTGGCTACCGGCGTATAAGCCTGCGTACCTTGGACCCTGCCATTTATCCGGCCTTTCAAAGTTGTCTTTGCCCATCGTGGACTCAGGCGAGGGAAACGTTGGTGACCTTGTTGACCTCGACGTTCACTTGATGGACACAAGGGGTTGGTTGGGTTCTCAGCCGCAGAGGCGCCATGGGGACGGGGGGCAGGGTGGTTGCTAACACTAACAGTGCCTTGACAGTCGCAGACAAGGGACATGGCGATAAATCGAAGTGATGAGGGCGCTTGGATGACCCAGCCTGGATGCCAGCTGTCAGCGGGCACCAGTATGCGCTTGGATCCAACCCCAATTCTTCTCATTATAGGGACTGTGCCAAAACCTGCGGTGCAAGTCAACAAGTCAACAAACAAGCACCGCTGCGGCCGAGAGAAGCGGCCCTGAAGCAAGGCAGGGAAGAACAGAGACAAGCGAGACTGACAACCTAACAGAAAGTCAACGAGAGTCGAGACACAAATCGGCAGAGGCAAGGGAAGAGTATTCGTAGAGTGGAAGTGACTTAGCAGAGCCGCCCGCCACCCCTTACCTACCCCGTCATTTCTGCCCCAGAACCCAGCGGTCATGCATGGGGTGGAGTTGAGGCCATTCTAAGGTCCGGGCTTGGTACGGAGTAGGGTCGCGGCGCTGCCTATTCCCCATCCAGGACCTTTTTGCATATTGGAGGCGGCGACCCGGAGGACTTTCAGGACTCAAGAGTCAAGATGTGAGAGCCAATCCCGGTGGACTTGATTGCCTGGCCACTCCGTATCGGGGCAAGTGTCTGTATGACTGTGAGGTGCAGTCCCTGGCGCGCCCCATACATGATACATGCGACTGGCGATGGCTTGCTCAAGTTGGCGAGTGGTAGCCTAGGGGAAGACGAAGTTGAGCCTCGGCGTCTAGGCTGGGGATGGTTGACCGTCGACCGTTGGAGGTGGAATTGTAGTCAGAGATGGAGTCATGGCAATTTGAGGACGATGATGGTGACTCTGAATCGGAAGGGAATCCGTGCCACCCCTTCTCCTCTTTCTTTTTTTGTCCTCCTTTCTTCTTTTCTGCATTTTTTTTTTTTTTGGATCTTGCTTGTTGACATTTATTGATACGTCGATACCATCAGTTCAGCTGTGGGTAATCAATCGAGCCCAGGGAAGCAACACAAAGACTTTCAATGGCTGAATGAGGAGCATGCAGGAAGCAATTTAAAAGAGGGAAGTGGAAGAATGGGAGTCTTCACCCCACGGCCACTGTCACACAATGGAAAGGCCGGGTGCTATGCATCTTGACGAACGGTGCAAGTGCAACCAGGCATGGTAAGGTACTTTGGCCATGTACTCCGTAAGGTGCTTTAGAGAACATCAGGGTGCTTGTGCTTGTATGTCACCATGTCACTACGTAGGTACCTTACTTAAGGTACCTTAGGTAGGTAGGTTCGTACACTTGCAGTCGTGCCTGAGGAAATAGAAGGCAACACTCACAAGTTCACCACGGCCTAGAACTTCATAACGCTCATCATCAGTCAATGGAAGACGGCAAGTCACGACAATACCTACCAACTTACCTTGCCTCAAGGTACTACAAGCAACAACACCTGCAGCAACTTCAAACCCCAGCTATGTTCCGTCCCATCCCATCCCATCCTGTTCAAGTCAACCTAACGGATCGATGCATGCACGGGTGTGTGTGTCTTGGTCCACCGCCCATCACAGATGCAGCCCCATCAAGCCCATACATGCTCCCCCTGTTACTGCTCCATGCTCTGCCCCATGCCCAAGCCCTCCTAAGGTACTTCGTACTACGTATCTTACACTACGTACCCTACAGGCGACTGGCCTAACCCCCATGCTGCGGCTACTGGCTGCTGTTGGCCTGTTACTCCTTCCCATGCGCATCCAATGGCTCTGAAGCTGCCCGGCCCACGGATACTTCCACTGTCCAGGCTGTTAGCAGCATGCCGGGGCGGATGCGCTGCCGCTGCAGGACCCAGACCAGCCGGTGCCAGCTCCTCTCCTGCCCCCTACCTCTACCCTAGGTACCCTGTCACTCCTCTCTCTCTCTACCTACCTGTCTCTGTGAGTCCATGTCCCTATCACTGAGGAATGAGTCTCTCCAAGTCACTACCAAGCTGCTTCTCTCTGTACGGAGTATCCAGTAAGGTAGGTACTTCGTTGCTTGTGTGCTTATCCACACACTCAGACAGCTCCATGTCATCGGCTGCTCAGTGTCTCTCCCTTCCCATCTCTCTTCCATCATCCTCTGCCTCCCGTACCTTGCCTCTAAACCTGCTCTATTACCTCTCGCCCTCCCTCACTTTATGTCTCTCTTTCCTGATTACCCAGCAACTGCTCAGACAACAATCCCTTTGTCTTTGCCTAGCTTACCTTAACGTACCTTATCTACTTCTTCTTGTCCTCTTTGCATCATCGCCTCTGGTCCTTGCGCCTTATCGCCCATTCTGACACTAAATCTCCGTCCCTTCTCTCCAAAGTACTCACCACAACCATATCCCCATCATCGCTCTTCTACACTTTCCCTCGCTCTCTTCGAGTCAGCATATCCCCCCGTCTGATCTTTCTGCTGTGCCTGTTTCTTCTTCTGTGCCGTCCTCAGCCTCCCCTGCCTCTTCACTAGGTACGAACGCATCGACAAGTATACACCGCCTTACTTGCTCGCCTGAATTACAGTCCATTCTGCTGGCCCACCCAGGTGACTCGATGACGGAAGGGTACTTGTCGACGATCACGAGGCTCAACAACCATTGAGCGGATGACACCAGCGCCGATAACCTCCGACTCGACCACCACAGGACCGCAACTCCGCACATCGCCGTCTATTCTTCTCTGATTTCCTCCCTTTTCTTGGGATTCGGAAAACCACACAAGCCGCGCATTTTGGAGCGGCTCGTTTGCGTCGTTGTTGGAGGACGTACTCAGGAAGTCGCTTTCCCTACTTGGCGAAAGCTTCCCCTCCGTCACCACAGCTTCTCGTTTCGACTTTCCTACTCTGTACCGCACGCAACCGAGAGCCATGGTCCAAGGCAGCGCTTAGCTTGTACATTTCGCCCTCGCCCTCGTTCTACGGTTCTGCAGTCATCTAGCCCGGCTCCATAACGCCCTTGGCCTGCTTGTGCGATATCGCTTCTCACCATTCGCCGCCCGTCTCCACGTTGACTTTGTCGCCTTGCCTGTCGTTGCCTGCGACATTGCGCGGCTTTCCAAAAGGCTAGCCACAACTACTTTCTCTCCGCCCGCTCTAAGAGTTCTCCTCCTCCGACCGGCCGATTTTCTCCTCGCTGTGCGCTCGAAGACTGAGGCTATCGAGGCGTTCCACTCCCTTTTGCAGTTGTCATGAAGGATGGATGAGCAGGTTCGGTACCACCCCAACTTCGATATCGCGAATACCCTCTCCCGCGCCGCCTAGAACTTCCTCTACGAATTCGCAACACACAACTCGTCACTGTCTTCCCGAAGCTTAGCCTACCCCGGCGGCTGCTTCTGATCAATCTTGTTCTAGACTTGCCCTTGGGGCCGCAATCCGCCAGACAAGATGCATCAGCAAGCTCGACCCGCCCCACGGGTCTCTTCCCCCGCTTCTGCGCCCCAGACGAATCCCACAAGAACGAACAATCCGAGAGAAGGAATGCTTGGTACACGCGAAAGAGCTAGCTCGGGGGCGTCTGGTCGCGATTCTGCCGCAGCGTCACCCACCATCGAGACCCCTCCAGGTTCCGTTTCGGCAGATGCAGTCAAGAAGTTGGATCAGATAATTCAGGTGTGTACTACGGGACAGAGGTCAAAAGGTGCCGCAGCCAAGATCTGCCACTAACTTGAGTGCAGAACTTCCACACCAAAGCTGCATCACTGGTGTTGCAATCGCGTTTGAACCTGAAGCCCATATATACGGCTCGTGGCTCCGGGAACAAGAAGCTAAACAAATGGGTGAGTGCTGGCTCGTTTGCAACCTCTGGTATCGCTTGCAGAGCAGGGTACTGACGCCTGTGCCTCCTTAGTTTCAAATCGAGACGGAAGAATTCGACGACTTCAAAGAGGAGCTTCGTATTTGGCGCAACTGTGGTAGCTTCGAGAACAAGCCTATGCCCCTCATCATCGAAACCTATCTCGATACATCACGTTTAACCCCTAGTCAGAGCCTGGTTATTGTGGACGAAAATGGTAAAAGATGGGACGTGATGGAAGCTCTCAATTCATCCGATTCGAGCGATGACGGCCGCTCTCTGCCCACAAAGAGGAATACGGAGGTGATACTCGAAAGATGGCGCATCGAACTAAAGACATTTCCCACATCCGACCCGGATGACTTTGGCCCTATACTGCCAACCATCTACAAAAAGAGCATCGTCTTCTTTCGGTCTCTCTTCGTTGCAACTAGGATTCTTCCTGCTTGGAAATTCTCTCAAGCATCTGCAACAAAAGGCGTTCATCCTTCATTGGAACCCCGTTGTCGTGTCCGAACCGGCGAACTAGACACCGGCGGCATCGACCGGCTTAGGCATCCGTTGTACGACGGTCGCCCGGATGTCGTAACTGACTACGTTTTTGGCGACTTGGAGGTACCGGTTGGTCGCTTCTATGCATCAGTCACTTACAGAAATGAGTGTAACTTCAGAGTGGACGATTCGGAGGCATTGTTAAGCTCGCGATTCATGGGCGTTGATGAGAACTTCTTCAAGCCATCACTGCCTCAGCGGACATCAAGCACCCGACGAAACGACCCCGAGGTGGGTTCTCTTCCGTCTCACCGAAGGAGTAGGACTCTTGCAGATATGCACCAGACGTATGGCAGTCTCTCAACCTTTCACGGGGAGGGAGCTTTGGGCACCAGTCCTATATCAGCTCTCAAGGCTGTGAAGCCCCCTGGGTCTGATACAAGCTCTCCGCCTGGGTCTGCTCCCACAAGCAATGAGCTGAACCCACCAAACTCATTACCCGTCACTGGCCTCGCAACAAGGTCTTCAATGAAGGGCTTCAGTAGCAGCGGCCGACGTCCGTCCGTCTCATTCCAGCCATTCAAGGCTGGGTCATTGTCTGGATCCCCCGTCCCTCGAACTCTCGATTCCGAATCTCCGGCATCTCCCATCTCACGCGCGGCGGCACTCAATGCTCTTACACAACCTCGCAATCGGACGTCACTGACAGCAGGAATGCCTGCCACCCTCCGAGGTGGCCCTCCACCGGCAGAAACAACCGTAGTAGGCTCGCCTCGGCCATCTTCGACAAGTCGGTACAGCAGCAGTTTTACTCATCGCAAAGGACGCTTATCATTTGGTGGCGCTAGCAAAGCCGGCGATGATGAGCAAGGCAGCAGCGGTCGACAAAGCCTATCCTCGTCAGTGGCCCAGCCAGGATCAGGTCTCCTGGCAGAAGCGAGTGCAGGCGGCAGCTCCGGATCGCTTCAAACAGACGACGATCAGATCTCAGAATTCTTGAAAGCGCTAGATAGCAAAAAGACGCTCAAGAGCTTTGAGTCTGGCAAGAAGGGCGAGGGCGCGACGAACCGAACAGTCGCACAGCTTTCAAGGTTCCACCTCATGAAGGAGTCGAACCAGGCGCTGACGGACTCGATGACCTCGTCAATGCAAATGCAGCGCTCCTCAAGCTCATCCAGTCGACAGCTGTCCAATGTGCCAAGCATGGCTGCGCCAGCGTCAGTATCCGTTTCGTCCTCGCCCGGCAAGCCTCTCTCTCCTCACACCCCTCATACGCCTGCTGTCCCCTCACGATTGAGCGAGAACTCGATCATCAACTACAACATAAGCCAGCCGCGAAGCGACCGCACCAATCCTAGTGCAGAGAATACACAGATGCCTAGAGAGGATACCATCACCCAGGATGGGACCACTGCCATTGACATACCCATCTCTCCCAGAATCGGCACCCACCCTAGACGGTCAAGCTCGGTGGCACAGCAGAACAGGGCCATGGCCGACGATGAAGACGGTGACTTGGCTTTCGCCGCCAATCGCAGCATCAGCTTGGGGGCGGAGGATCGCGAGCCGCCCACGCTCAGCATGCTGTTGGGAAGACAGACAGAAGCCGAGTCAGCGTCTCGTCGAGCAGCGGGCTCGCTGCAGCCGACAGCAGATATCCCATCATCAGGTTCGGCGGAGATGATGAGGCAGGGCTCATCAGAAGGATCTAAACCTCCAGGTGGACTGATGGCAGTCGCGCCATCCAGTTCGCCATTTGGCAGGCGTCGGTACGCTGGCATGGCATCCACTGGAGGACGAGGCCAGACGCCTCCTCAGTCGTCCAGGGGAAGCTTTACGGGGTCCATTGGACGGTACGGGCGCGGCGAGAATGACTTGATGGACGAAGAGCCGCTCCTTTTCGATATGTCAGAAATGGATGCGCAGTCGCGGAGAAGTCTGGAGGAGGGCCGAGGTGGCGGAAACATTGGTTCTGGATCTGGCAGTCGAGCCGATTTTGAACCTCGCGGTATCAGTCGAAGGGGATGGTGAGCAAGGTGCTCTCAGTGACGACGAGGAACGGCTTCACAAGCAACATTGCCGAAGGTAGCCAGGAAGCGCATCAGGCCCATCTCTTTCACTGGGTTATACTTGGGCTGAATGACACGAGCGCTTTTTTCCTCTCTTTCTCTCTCTCTCTTTCTCTTTTTCATACGCCTACAAGGCTTAGGAAGACCTGCGGACAGGTCCAGCAGAAAGGCATCATCGAAACGGTCTTTGATTTTTACTTCTCTTCTCCCGTTTTCAGATATATATCAACGGGTTGGAGAGATGGGTTCATGGCGTTGGATGGAATCGGAATGGCCAAGACAATTCCCAGTGCCGGCAGAGACGGCAGGGAGCACCTTGGGGAACCAAGGACAGAGTACAGATACGATAGAGAATGCACAAAGACTGGCATGCATATACGCATTACTCCTGAGTCCCAAGTACTAGGTATCCGCCATTGCACGAGCTTAAGCTTAGAACCTGAAGAAGGATAGTGCAGATCCAGGGGTGCCAGACGTTTGAATGTGGCTTGACGTCGTTGCTAGTCCCGTTGGTTGGCAAGTTGTTTCCGTGTTGGGTTCCCTGCAGGCTGTGATGGTGTGGCGCACGCAAGACTGACGTTGTGTTGTATGCTGGGGATTTGGTTTAATATCTCATCATCCTGTTTTTCCTTCTCTTTTGCTCTTTGCTACCACCTTTATGCCTCTTGTGACGAAGAGATGTGGTCACCAAAGTACCTTACAGTGTGGACTATCTCGGGGGCTATGTGGCTATTGTCGAGAAGTGAAGGGCAGCGACTGTGAATGAAGACTAATATGATGCATGGGTATTTGAGGTAAGGTAGATTAAGAAGAAGAGATTTGTAGCTATTTTAGGCAGCGGGTTTGAAGATGCTTCATTATAGACTAAAAAAGAGGCTAAGGTAAAATAGACGCAACAAACCGTGAAGCGTAGTGGAGCAAAGCGAGGACGATGGTCGTTTCGACCTCAAGAAGGCAGGTCAGGGCTCGCAGACGGATCAGGATCCGTTAGAATTAATTTGAATCGAAGACACCATCGTCGCCATTGGGCAGCGAAAGAAGAGGAACCCGTGCAAGGCAACAAAAGATCCAAAGGCCCACGCGGTTGGTTACGCATGCTTTTGGCCGTCTCTCCTCCACACCTGTGGCGGTGCAGCAGTTGCCAGTAGGTAGTAGATGGGGACTGTTTGAGTGAGGTGTCTTTAGTGTTTGCTGCCAGACCGCGGGTGACAGAGGAGCAAGTCCGCGTAATTCATGGGCGAAACGAGCTCAGCCCCCCTGTTGGATTTTCCTGAGGTACCCATGGAGTAACTTGCAAAGCTACCTTACCTAGGTAGGTCGTGATGACGAAGGGGGTCTCTTTCGGGCTCTCCAAGGCGCACTTTGTTGGTGGCACCGCAGCACCTTACCTTACACTGAGGTGAGGTATGTCACTCTCCAGCTGTAAATGTATGCAACGGGTACATCCCCCGCACATCAAGAAAGCTGAAGAAAAGAGAAGCTCACACTTGGGCTCGTGGTGAACGGGACTAGTGGTCCGGACCCTGTGACAGCCCATGGCGGCATGGCCACCTCCCAGAGCCCAGGTGCCAAATGCCAGCTGGAGGCGTGCCAGGTTTCCCTGTGACCTTGTTCCCCAAGCCTCAAGGCAATACCCGACCTCACCTTGCTTGCCTGAATAGGTACCTTGCCTTCTACGGAGTATTGCCTTCAGGTCCCGTACTTTACCTTAGCGACGGATACATGCTGCCGACTGACCTTGCATTAGGTATTAGTTGCTTACTTTGGTTTCCACCCAGAGGTTGAAGACGACAACTGCAAGATTCTGAGTGTGCCTCAGCACTTACGTACTCACGTACCCGTCACTGATTACCTCAACCTTGGCGACCTTATCCATCACCTTCCTTTCCCTCGGGTTCACGCTTCGCCTCAGCACACACCTACACACCCGCGCGACATACCCACCTCATCGAGACGTCCCTCTCCCCAAACACACACCCACGACCTTCAACTCCGCCAACCCAGGCTCCAAGAACCTCTAACCTCCAACCTACACGATTCGGCCAACCTTCGAGCGCACGCCTTTCACTCTGTCGTGCACTCCTGATCCCGCACTCGACATTGCAACCCATCGCATTGCATACGCGGAGCCCGACGACAACTTGCACCTCGCCTGACGTAGTTAACCGCTTTGCCCGCTCCAGGCATCTTCTTGCCACAAGCGCACCCACAATATCTCCAAACCACTCGAAACAAGCAAGACAGCTTCTTGATTTCACCCATTACTACACAGCAACCGCAGCGGCTCACAGCTTTTAACCCAACATGTTTCGAGCTGCCGCAGCTGGTCCCTTTGACGAGGGCGTCGGTATGTGTGCAGCCTTGCGTATCAAACGCCATCGCTGGCCAACCTCGCTAACCTGTCCCTTTTGCGTCATCTAGCCAAGGCCACCGACGAGAACCTCACGTCCGAAGACTGGGGAGCTATCATCGAGGTCTGCGACCGCGTAGGCAGCGATGCAAATGGTCCCAAAGAGGTTGTACAGGCAATGATCAAGCGTCTCGCCCATCGCAATGCCAATGTCCAGCTCTATACCCTCGAAGTGAGTTGCACCCTCTCCTCTCCGGCCCGCCGTTACCGCGCCCATCCTGGTATACTGAACCTGTCGCTGACCTTGCTCTTCTTCCTGCGCAACAGCTTGCGAATGCCCTCAGCCAGAACTGTGGCAAGAACATGCACCGCGAGCTCTCAAGCCGAGCCTTCACTGACGCCATGTTGAAACTCGCAAACGACCGCAATACCCACACTCAGGTCAAGGCCAAGATTCTCGAGCGCATGAAGGAGTGGTCCGATATGTTTAGCAAGGACCCCGATCTCGGCATCATGTACGACGCGTACTTCCGTCTCAAGCAGAACAACCCGACTTTGCAGGCCCCTTCGGCGCCCCAGAAGACTGGTCTGACCGACCTGGATCGTCAGAAGGAGGATGACGAGCTTCAGATGGCTTTGAAGTTGTCGCTGCAAGAAGAGGAGAAGAAGAAGGCGCCTGCCGAGTCCAGCGCCGGTCCATCCTCTTCCGCCGCCGCCGCTGGATCCTCGACACACGCTGCTGCACAGCCCCAAGCTCACTCTACACCAGTGCCTGCTGGCACGACAGCTGCCACCGTGTCAAGGGTGCGAGCACTATATGATTTCGTTCCTTCCGAGCCGGGTGAGCTCGAGTTCAAGAAGGGCGATGTTATTGCAGTCCTCGAGTCGGTTTACAAGGATTGGTGGCGGGGCTCTCTCAAGGGGAAGACGGGAATTTTTCCCCTTAACTATGTTGAGAAGCTCACAGATCCCACCCCCGATGAGCTGGCACGTGAGGCGCAGATGGAGGCCGAGGTGTTTGCAGAGATCAAGAACGTCGAGAAGCTGCTCACACTATTGAGCACGTCCAACACGGCGCCGAGAGAAGAGGATAACGAGGAGATATCGGTAGGTCCTACGAGTGCCACCTCAGCCCGACCCGGTACTGACAAGTAGGTAAACAGAAGCTCTACCACCAAACGCTAGCCATCAGGCCGAAGCTGATCAAGCTCATTGAGAAGTACTCCCAGAAGAAGGGTCAGAGATGCTCCACTCACTTGCCTCTGCTGCTTATACTGACCAAGACATGCAGATGACTTTACACAGCTGAATGAGAAGTTCATCAAGGCTCGCCGCGACTACGAGTCTCTTTTGGAATCATCCATGTCGCATCCTCCTCAGCCTAGTTACCACCAGTATGCCATGAGACCTGGTCCCGGCGGGTACCCAGGCGGACCGGGGGCGGGGTATCCTCCGCAGGGTCCTCCTCAAGGCCCTCCCCAGGGCCCTCCTCACCAACAGCAGCAGCAGGAGCAGAGATACTATACTCCAGCACCCCAAGGTGAACTACCTTGATTGCCTTCTTCCAAGCGCACCAAGTTTAACTAGTTTGTACATAGAACAACCCCAATACCCTCAGTCTACGCCCTCGCCGAACTTCCAGCGTCCGGCACAGGCAACGCCTGCTCCTTTCTACGTAGCCGGTGCAGAGGTCCCTTCAGCACCGCCTCACAACCAACCGCAACAGTACCCCCCGCGTGACCAACGTATTCCTTCCACGGGCAAGGCACAGGTGCCGCCGATTAACACCTCGTCACCACCACCGGCCAACACGTATTCCGCATATTCTGTGCCTCCCAATCAAGGAAGGCCACAGAGCACTTACGGCCCCCAGGAGCTGGCAACCTCTGTCTACGACTCACCCATTGCTACCCATAACCCGAGCTCTGCTGCAACATATACATCCTCCGTGTATTCCCAAGACGATTACAACAACGGTAGCCCCGTTGTAGGTAACTCGACTGTTCCAGCACCTTCATCCTTCCAACCATCAGCACCACCAGCCGGGCAACCCTCACAACCACCTCAACAGCCGCCGCAACAACACCAGCAGCCACAGTACCAGAGCTATCAGCCACCAGGAGCTCAGGGGCAAGACAACTACGTCAGTGCCCCTACTCAGGCACCGCCGCCTGTGCCGACTGGAGCGGCTCCGCCTATCCCAGGTGCCGGCCGTTCTGAAGTGATGACACCGCCGCCCCTGCAGCCTGGCGGCGCGGCCTACGATGCTAGAAATAGCCTTCCGAGCCAAGGACCATCACAGCCGCAGTACAGGGCGTATGTTCCGCCCGGCGGTGGTGCCGATGGGCCGAGCGCACCGCCCGCTGCGGACTACTATCGACAGAGTGGCGTTTACTAGACACGAGAACTGGGGAGTGGCGGTCTTGACATCAGGTAGATGAGGTGGCCAGTTTGGTTGGAGGCCATCCTATTGGACGGAGTACATTCGATATTTTTAATGACTTTTTTTATCTTTCGAATGTGTCTGGGAGGTATCTTGGGCATTGACAGCCGCCCCTCGGCCATGCAAAGTTGTGTAGCAATCAGTCAATCGCATTGGTTGAATTCAGGATGACAACGGTCAATTTTTTTGAGACTTGCAAAGGCCGTACAGAGGGCATCATACCCGGCATGGCGGGGTAGTTTGTCGGTTGCGAGGAGGGAAAACTACCGTAGTGAAAGTAGGAAGCAGGGAAAGGCGGAAAGAAGGGTGAATAATAGTCGAATCTGTACACTACCTTGTCTCGTCATTGGTGTGTTCCTTGCTCCCATTATTCATTCGCTATTATTCCAGTCGCGTGTGGCCCAGTAAGTTGAAGCAAGAGAAGGTAGTCAGTTGAAGCAGTTCTTGTTCAAGCGTATGTCCATCTTCAGTTCTGTTTCTATCATCGTATCGTGAGAAGAAGAAGAAGAATCCTGTAACGCCAATGGTCCTGGGCTCTATGGATGAAGCCGCCATTTACAAATGTCGTACAACTCCCTAAAACGCACACTGCCTCCCACCTCATTATAACAAAAAATGACTCGCTTTCTACTCCTTAACATTGCCCATCAGGATAAGATCAGGAAGAAAGGATAAAAAGGGGGTTTCACCACCGCCGACCAAACATCTCGTGCTCAGGCTTCTTGGCCTTCTTCTTCCCCGCAACCAAGCTGGACTCGGGAGACCCTTGCCTGCTTGTTCTCGCCGAGGTAACTTGGGAGGACGACGGGTCGGGATAAGCGTCGCCAAGGCCGGCAGGCGCCTGAGAAGCATCGCGCCGGAACAGGTCCATAATCTCCTTGAATCCAAGCTTGAAGGCGTCCTTCTTCATGCCACCCTCAATGGCCGTCTCGGCGAGGAGTCGTTTCTTGTCCTGCAGCGCGAGAATGCGCTCCTCCACCGTGTTCTCCACGGTGAGCTTGTAGACGATGACATCGACCGTCTGCGTAAGGCGGTGCACTCGGTCGATGGCTTGTTCCTCGACAAACTAGAAAAAGATGGATGATTAGCACGCTGGGAAAACATCTGTCTTGATAGAAAACGCTGGGAAAGACTTACAGGATTCCAGAAAGGCTCTAAAATAATGACACGAGTCGCCGCAGTCAAGTTGAGACCCAAGCTACCGCACTTGAGACTGCAGAGAAGAATGCGCGTGTTCTTGTCATTGCGAAGACGGTCCAGACTAGCCTCACGCTCGTCGTTCTTCATGCTGCCGTCGTACCGAGTGAACTTGAGCCCATCCTTGCGGAAGAAAGGCTCGACGAGGTCCATCATGGACGTAAATTGCGAAAAGACAATGAACTTGTGCTTGCGGGCCTCCTTGTGTAGGATCTGCATCATTTCGCGAATCTTGGCTGAGGCCAGAACCTTGGACGCCTTGCCCGCAGGATCGTAGTCGGTGTCCTTGTCGGAATGCAGCTCCGACTCGTCTACACCCGTATCTTCTTCCGAATCAGTGTCGGAGTCCGAAACGCGCGACTGCGAAGATCTGAGCTTCTCCTCCTTGACTTGCGACGCTATCGCTCCTATTGAAAGGAGGCTGTCGTCGGAAACGTCACTCTGGTCAACACCCTGATCGTTCTTATCCTCATCATCCTTTACGACAAAGCTGTCGAGCTGGCTGTCGTCATCTTCATCTTCGGAATCGTGCTTGGAATCATTCGCACTAATCCACTCGCCACCTCCTTCGGCATTCTCATCCTCTTCGCCGCCGGCCTTGCCCATCCGCAACTGGCCCTGCTGATCCCCGGGTACGAGCCAGCTGCCGTCTGCCTCCTCATCATCACTGTCGACGACGACGTTTCTGTTTCTGGGCCTCCTGGCCTTGGGTTTATACGGTGTTTCTTCTTCTGCATCCCCTCCCAAGGATTTCCGCACCACCTTCTTGACACTGCTCTTCTGCTTCTTTTGTTTCTTTGACTTCGGCGTCTCGTGCTCATTGAAATACGCCAGGTCTTCGCGACACTCCTGGCAGGTGTCTTTACCGCTATTGGCTACGTCCCGCGGCAACTCACGACCGCAGACGTCACATTGCCTTGAGACTATGCCCATTCCGCCAAACATTTCAGCAAGAGAGTCGATGTCTCCGCGCGCGGTCTTTGGGGCGGCATCAGATAACGCTTCCCTGTCCTTTTCGAGCTTGCCTTCAAGCAGCTTTGGATGGTTGCAAGCCTGTCTGAGCCGCAGGAGCAGAACCAAGGCATTAGCATAGTTGATCTTTCCCTGAAGCATTTGCTCGATGCTCTTGTCGGCTCGAGCTTCCAGTCTGGTATAGAAGCGACGCTCTGCTGGGGAAAACTTTGTGGCAACTGTGACGACCTTGCGCTCCGTGACTTTGAAGCCAGTGGTGGACTTCTCGCCTTCCTTGGTTGGCTTGCCGCCAGGGTTGAGGGCACCATCTTCCTTGAGAATCTCCTTCGTGCGCCGCTTCATGAAGCATCGCAGAAGACTGTGAAGCCGGCCAATTGCCACATGGCCCTGGCCATTCTTGAGAGGCTTCTCGATCTGCTCTTTCCATTCCTTGAGATTATCGTATGGCTTGATACGGAGGAACTTGATGAGGGACTGCAGCTCCTCCAAGTTGTTCTGCATTGGGGTTCCTGACAGGCACCATCGATACTCCGAACGCAGGGCGTAACAGGCTTTTGTCGACTTGGCGTTGCGGTTCTTGATTGTATGTGCCTCGTCAAGCACAACTCGCCACCAATGGAGGCCGAAAGCGCCTGCTTTGACACCCTTCTCATCTTCGGAGGAGTGACCCCATTCGGAAACCAAGACTTGGTAGGTTGTGACTACGACGTCGTACAATGCGAGGTCCTTAAAATTCTTCGTACGTTGAGGTCCATGATGAACACAAACCTTGAGCCCGTGCGACTTGGTCACCTTCTCTTTGATCTCCGCCTCCCACTGCCTGATCAATGCAAGAGGCGCGACCACAAGTGTTGTCTTCTCGATACCGCTGAAGTGCTTCTTCCAGCCCGCTTCGTCCTTATTGGGTTTTTGGTTGCTGAGTATCAGGGAAATGGTCTGAAGAGTCTTGCCGAGACCCATGTCGTCCGCCAGAATGCCACCCTTGGGTACCTTGCCCTTCTTCACCGGGCCGAGTTCGCGACCTCGCATCCACTCCACGCCTTCAATCTGGTGAGGCAGGAGCTTCACTTTGAGACCCTCCACAGTACCATCATTCACGGCTTCGCCTTTCTCCTTTTCTTCACCCTCGTCCTCTGATTCCATTCCGCCTTCCAATAAAGCCTTCAGATCGGACGATGCCTTCGCAGGGTCTGTCCAGAACTCATTTTCTCCAAAGATTGTGGTGGGTCTAAAGGTCGAGGGGTTGGCGTCGGGGCCTATGGAGCTATACAATGTGGGTGGCTCAGGTTTCCTGTCTTGGTAGAGAGGGACTGATGGAACAGACATCTGCTGAGGTCGGTGATGTTCTGGGCGTGATCTCCTCTCGTTGAAGATGCCTGTTGCCTTCTGCTTAAGAGAGGACAGAATCTTGGTAGGATGACCAAAAACAGGCTGTGAAGACGAAGAATGAAATGGATCGTGACGTTTGACATCCGAGAAGAATGACTCCAACGCATCGGAGTGCAGTATGGACTGCTCGTGTTGCGAGCTTGATTCGCTCTCCTTCGAAACTGGTCGAGGAGGCGGCTTGAAGTCGTTGCGGGATATTTCGACCAGATCAGGACTCGTTTGGCGATAGGCTGGAGGGTTGCGCCTCGCAGACGAATTCGGGATCGCTGCGGGCGCTTTTGACTTTGGTGTTGTTGACAAGCGCATGGAACCGACTTGGGCGGCAAGATCTTCGGGGTCGAAGGAAGCTGAGTCCCGACTTTCGGCTCGTGAAAGCAAGTGTGCGGCACCACGGGATTCCTTGCTCGGGTTGCCCGTCTTTGGAAGCTCGTGGCTGGTTGATGATTGTGAATCATCGTTGGGATTGACCGGGCGCAAAGGGCCTCTGGCCGGATTCCTTTGGTTGACCATGACTGTGTAGCGCAGCTGCGGCCTGTCTTCGTGATTGTTCTCGGGATGCAGTTTTTGTCCGCAATAAGATGGAGGGAGGTCGGGGGATCTCTCAGAGGAAATCGTGTTTCGAGGCTGAAAGGAGAAATTCGCGCCTGGTTTTCTGTAGTTTCGACGTAAAGGTGTCAGTTGGATGTTGGACTCTTGGAGGGGTAAATTCAGAGAGAAAAACAGAAAAGAAGGGGGGAGAAAAACAAGCGAATGTGGGTTGTACCAACTTCAAAAAAATTTCATGAGGGGGATCGATGTAGCGCCAGGACTCTTAGTAGACTCGGTGATAGTCGCCCTTTTTGTAGTGGAATGGCTGATCGCGTTCAGGAAGCTCAAAATGTGTAAATAGATGCGATTGTTGGGGATAGTGCCGAATTGTGAACGGGATGTGACAGCCGTTGGTACCACCTACTTAGCAATGACATAACTCTCCCCAGCAACGGGCAGGCAACGAACGCAACGCCACAATGTACCTTGAGCGTGGGACAACTGCTTGTGCGACAGTGCACTGACACACTACCTGATAGACAGTGCAGAGTTCTAGCCCGCACTCCCAGCCACTTTCCTTCACCGAGTCTCACCGAGGCAAGTATATACCACAGTGTGCCATTACAGGCTACACCTTACAAGGCCAACAAGCAATTGATTTTCTTTCGTCTAGTTCAGAGGCATTTCTATTGTCTAGATGGGGTATCAGTGTATGGATCAAAACCAACACGCTTTTTCGTCTCCGTTCGAGCCCTCAAACGCTCTTCTCCAGTAAGCCCTGTCGTCGATGATTCCTCCAAGAAGAAGTTCAGGATATGGTCGTGCATCGTGAGATGCGGTGCCTGTTGGAATTCTTGCAAACTGGTGAG